CAGCCTCCCGAGTAGCTGGGACTACAGGCGCCCGCCACCTCGCCCGGCTAGTTTTTTGTATTTTTTAGTAGAGACGGGGTTTCACCGTGTTAGCCAAGATGGTCTCCATCTCCTGACCTCGTGATCCGCCCATCTCAGCCTCCCAAAGTGCTGGGATTACAGGCTTGAGCCACCACGCCCGGCCTTTATGTCTGAGTTAAAACATTTTACCTGATTTTCGTGTGTTCATTTTCTAAATCAATTATGACCTAATGTTAACAATCAGCCTTCTATTGTTTTTCTCTACTGAATAATGGTGTGTTGAATGGTTTGAAGACTTTTTCTTCCTCTACCTCGCTTCTAAATTCCTCATTTACAAACAAACAAACAAAAAAAACAAAACACCCCCCACAATACCAACTGTACCTCCCCAAACCAGTTAGATCATAAATCCAGATCTCATTGAAAATTATCCTTTTGACCAGGCATGGTGGCTCATGCCTGTAATCCCAGCACTTTAGGAGGCCAAGGTGGGCAGATGACTTGAGCCCAAGAGTTCGAGACTAGCCTGGGCAACCTGGTGAAACCCCGTCCTTACAACAAATACAAAAATTAGCAGGGCGTGGTGGTGTGTACCTGTGGTCCCAGCTCCTCGGGAGGCCTGAGGTGGGAGGATTCCTTGAGCCTGTGAGGATCCCTTGAGCCTGGGAGGCGGAGATTGCAATGAGCTGAGATGGTGCACTCCAGCCTTGGGGACAAAGACCCTGTCTCAAAAAAAAAAAGAAAAAAGAAAGAAAATTGTCCTTCCTTATTAAGAAGTTCTATATTGAAGACTTCCCTCTATATAGTTGTACAGAATTAGTCTGAGTTATTCTTTATTAGAGAGGAGGAAACAAAATGTTCTGTAATGTGGGAAGAAAAGCCACATTTATATTAGTATATGTGAATGTCTTCTTTCTTCTTCCTTTTTTTTCCTCCCCCAAGAGACAAGGTCTCACTATGTTGCCCAGGCTGGATTCAGACTGTGATTGTCTTTTTTTCTCTGGCTACCAGGAAACTCTTGGTTTTATTTGAGATAGTAATTGTGCTGATTTTACAGTTTGCTCATGATGATGGTGATTATTACTACTTACCTGTGTATTCTATGCCAGGTATAGAGGCTAGGGCTTTGTATGAATCACGTTTAAATCTCACAATGGCTGAATGAAGTATTATCTCCATTTTACAAATGAGGAAATTGACTCGGGTGAAATGATTTGTTCAAGGTTGCACAGTAATTTGTGCCTTGGGGTTTTAACTTAGGTCTTTGTGACACCAGAACCTGCTCTCTTAACCTCTCTCTTATGCTGCTCTCCTTGATCCTGGTTTGACATTTCTGTTTTACTAAGTGTGAGGTTTAGTCTTTTGTCTCAACACTGCCTCAGAGCCTGCTGGGCAATAGAAAAAAAAAATGTGTTTAAACATATATATGACTTTAAACCCAGTGCTTCTGTGGTGTTGTGCATAACAACTGGTGTCCCCTTTTTTTGCCATTAAAACAAATCAGTTTTTTGGCCTGTGTGATCCTAAGTCTAAAGAATTGTGTTGACAGCATTTGCATATCAAGCATCAAAATTCATTTTGGAAATGTTTTGTACTAACATTGTGCTATACTACTGTGCTTCTTCCATGGGCTGCTCTACAGCTGTTTTTCCCATGGCTAAATTATGTAATATGTTTCACTGTTGGTTTCTTATCTGTTTCTGTTGCAAGGGTCACATAGTAATTGGTCAAACTCAGTTTTGTGTTTTAATCTTGGTTTTTATTTACATTTTTGAATCTATCTGTATAACTGGTTGCTAATGAGCATCCATTACATAACTCTGCTCTCTGTATTCCATGCAAGGAGCCTTTCTCTTTTTTTGTGTATGTTAGTTTTATAGTTACTTACAAATCTAGATAAGAGAATAAATTCAGTAAATACCACTAGAGGATTATGAGAATTTTAGAAAAACTACAGCAATGTAGTGTAGGGGAAGGAAAAGCAAAATGAAAGGCTGCCACCTTTGTGTGTGGAAAGCATGTTAGAGGCTCTCCATTCACCTGACAAAACCGTCCTCACAAAAGATTGGGCCACCTAGTTGTCTATGCTGAGGTGCATTTGAAGAATTCGTAACCAGTTACTCTTTCCTTATTTTTCTCTTAGCTTTATAACAGTTGCATTCCAGTATTGCAGAGCATGCTATTTACAGCT